GCAGATCTGAGTCGGATCGCTGTCTGATGAGATGTACTCAGACGACGTACTCAGATTGAAGCAGCAAAAGTGGGACTCTCGGGCGGTCGGAAGAGTCGCACACCCACGAAATCATTGATCCCAGAAACTTTATCTGATGCGATCTGGGAAGCGAGAACGATGTGGTTCGCAGCGCCAAAGACCCGTGCACTTGGCGAATGCGCTCGGTGACCACTACCCCAGACAAAAAACGAGCTCGCGCGTCACAACTCTCAATACGCGTTTGGCCAGAAATACACGCTGCAACAAAGAATTGAGCTCGAATTCAACCGTGCCACCTAGTGAACTCAGACCCGTGTCTGGTTTCGCATGTATCTGAGTACCTCGCTCTGATAATCGTAGGCGGCGTGCATATGATGACACCGGCAGGTACGACGCGCAACCCGCCCGCTCTTGAGAGCGCCCACAGTCCAGCTACCAAATGACTGGTTTCGCTGCCAGCTGCACCTTGATTCAAAAAGCAACTACTAGTACGGTCGAGGCTCCCCAGTCAGACTAAACATAACCCATATGTTGCTCACCTCGCTGCTGGTTCCTCACCGCCACGCAGCTCCCCACGCAGCCCTCGCATGATGCACACACCGTCGCCATGCAGTTCGTACGCACAAGTAGCCAATTCGAACGACGGATCTCGTCCCACCCAATCTGCTCGAGTGCTGCGGCCGTCGAGCGCGGGCGTGGTGAACGTCGAGCTAGTTGGGCTGGGTACGGCTGGGCTCAGATGGCCGCAGGGATTAGCTGCTCACCACAGAGTACGAATCCGCTCGATTCTCAGGTGCATGCAGCACAGAGTTCTCAGGTGTTGTGTTCGTACACAGCGTCGTTGGCGCACCCATGGATTCAAATCCGTTTGTGGCGGCTACAGTGTAGTACAAATCGCTTTGGCCCGCGCCTCGTAGCTCACTTTTCCTTTTGCAGCCATTGCATCCCACGATGATTTCCTTCGCCAAGCTCACTGCGCTCGTTGGCCTCGCGGCGTCGCTCGTGGCCGGCCAGACGTGCTTCCAGGGCGCCGACGAGATCGGTCGCACGGCACCGTACGCGCTGGCGTCCAACGGGTCGGTGCCGCTGCGCACCGTCATTTCGCGCGACGCCGCCTCGTACGTCTCGCTGCACTTTGACTCGCTCAACTTGCCCAACGGCGCTGTCCTCACGCTCTCGTCGCCCGACGGATCGACGTCGGTCAAGTACACGGGCGGCGACCGCGACAACTTTTACGCCGAGTACATCCCCGGCGGCTCGGTCGTGCTCTCGTACACGCCGCCGCGCGAAGACATTGCGCTCCTCGACGGCGTCGACGCCTTCCGCATCGATAGTCTCGCGTACGGTGTGCCGCCGCGCCCGACCGAGGCCATTTGCGGCACGGACGACACCAAGGCTGCGGTGTGCGTCAAGAGCTCGCTCCCGACGCAGTACACCAAGGCGCAGGCCGTGGGCCGGCTCCTCATTGGCGGCACGTCGCTCTGCACCGGGTGGCTCTTTGGCTCGGAGGGCCACTTGATCACCAACAACCACTGCATCGGCGACGCCAACGCGGCCAAGGACATTCAGTTTGAGTTTGGCGCCGAGTGCGCGACGTGCGCGGACCCGAACAACACGCAGCAGCTCGCTTGCCGCGGCACCATCGTGGCCACGAGCGCGACGTTCATCCGCACCAACAAGAACCTCGACTACACGCTCGTCAAGCTCAACCTCAAGTCGGGCGTGAGCTTGGCCAAGTACGGCTTCCTCAAGGCGCGCGCGTCGGGCCCCAAGCTCGGCGAAAAGATCTACATCCCGCAGCACCCCGCGGGCAAGCCGCGCCGCATCGGGTACCTCCTCGACAACGGCGCACAGGGCACGATTGAGTCGCTCAACATCAACAGCTGCGTTGCCAACGAAGTCGGCTACATGGTCGACACGGAGGGCGGGTCGTCGGGCTCGCCGGTCATCAGTCCCAACGACCACGCGGTCATCGCGCTCCACAACTGCGGTGGCTGCCTCAACGGCGGCGTCAAGATCAGCGACGTCGTCAACGACCTCCAAGCCGCCGGCAAGCTCCCGGCCCAGTCGACTGTCTAAATAGTATGTCGAGACGAGTCGTGTTGTTTGTCAATAATGGAGTTCCAAGTTTTGAGTCGTCCGGAGTGTCTTATTGTCCACAGAACTCTCGTACACACTAGACTAGCTGCAACTATCGACTAGGAAGGACAATGGGGGGAAATAACGTTGTATTGTGCTCGTACCCTTTGAAGACACAACGGTGCAAACGTGTTGTGTCATAACTAAGGAAGCGCCCAAACACTGCTTGGCAAGCAGGTTGCTGAAGCGCCGAGATCTGAGCACGAACGCGAGTGCTGTGACTACAGCTGTACATTGTAAAAGCGTTCTCTATGTGTGCTCTTCGTGTGCAATCAGAGGGTTGTGTATAGGACGACGCTTCAATCGCACCTGCTTTATTGTAGCGTGCCACAATGCCACTCGAAATCACACTCGGGCCGAGCGATCTGAGTCGCCGGGATCAAGTAATGACATTGCCGTGAGAGAAGTCACGTTCGTTTGACATGCATACAGATCATGGCGCGCAAAAGCATGCGCTGGGTCGGAAGTTGTGCAGAGGGCGTCGTGGCTTCACGCTTGCTCACGTTCCATTGCTCTTTGCCATCGCCATCCGAAGCCAGGGTACGGTTATTAGCTGAGTGTTTGGCTTCGGTTATAAATATGCATTTGAAGCCGACACTGTATCTTCATTACCAGCTATTGTATGCATATATATCCCTCAGATTGACTCATTTCGAACGCCATCTGGAACTACCGCAGACCAAACAGCAGGTCGGAGCGAGAGCGCGAGAGCCGTCCGTTGTCCGTATGTCTGCGTTGAGGGCTCGCCAAGAGCAAACTCACTTCTGTATTCTCTCTTCTTGACACAATCACCATGCTCTCAGTCTCCAAGCTCGCTGTCTGCTTGGGTCTCCTTGCGTCGAGTGCGATGGGGCAATACTGCTTTCAGTCGGTCGAGAAGATCGGTGCCGACCAGAGCTACAACTTGACGCTCTCCGCCGACGTCTCAACCAAGACCATCACGCACGACAAGGCCACGTACATTGCGCTGCACTTTAACCAGCTCGACTTGCCGCATGGCGCGTCGGTCACCGTGAGCGCGCCGGACGGTCAGAACGCAGTCACGTACACGGGCAAGCACAGCGACTTTTACGCCGAGTTCATTCGTGGCGACGCCGCCAAGGTCACATACCACGCGCCGTCAAACGGCCACGGCGCGTCGCCCGTCATCTCGATCGACCGGTACGCCAGTGGGTTCCCGGAGGACAGCCAGAAGCACCCCGAGGCCATTTGCGGCAAAGACGACTCAGAAGCCTCCATGTGCTACAAGGACAAGAAGCCAACACAGTACAAGAAGGCGCAGGCCGTCGCTCGTCTCTTCATGAACGGTTCTGGGCTCTGCACCGGCTGGCTCTTTGGCTCGGAAGGTCACTTGATCACGAACAACCACTGCATCGGTGACGCGGGTGCGGCCAAGAACGTCCAAGTCGAGTTCGCGGCCGAGTGCGCGACGTGCGACGACCCGAACAACACCAAACAGCTCGGGTGCAAGGGCAAGGTCGTCGCCTCCAGCGTCGAGTTTATCCACACCAACAAGGCCCTCGACTACACGCTCGTCAAGATCAACTCCAAGGACCTCGCTTCGTACGGGTACCTCACGGCGCGCGAGTCGGGGCCGGTCCTTGGCGAAGAGATTTACATCCCGCAGCACCCCGGTGGCAAGCCGACGCGCATTGCTGTCAAGCTCGACAACGGTCAGCCGGGTACGATCGAAGACATGGGCCACTCGTCGTGCGTCGAAGACGAAGTGGGCTACATGGTGGACACGGAGGGCGGGTCGTCGGGCTCGCCGGTGCTCAGTGCCAAAGACAACTCGGTCATCGCGCTGCACAACTGTGGTGGCTGCCTCAACGGTGCTGTCAAGATCGACAAGATCGTCAAGGATCTCAAGAGCATCAACAAGCTCCCGAAGAACGCCCTTGATGGTGGCAAGTCGCCCACGCCCAAGCCCAGCGACCAGCCATCGCCCAAGCCCAGCGACAAGCCATCGCCCAAGCCCACGTACGATCCGACGGATAGTCCCAGCGACGACCCGAGCGACGACCCGAGTGACGACCCTACGGACAAGCCGACTGACAAGCCGACGACCAAGCCGACGACCAAGCCCTCCAAGCGTCCGCGCCCGTCGACGCCCCGCCCTGTCACGAAGAAGCCGAGCAGCAAGCCGACGGCGCCCCCTTCGAATGGCGCCAAGAAGGTCTGGGAACAGTGCGGTGGCAAGGACTACACGGGGAGCGCCTCGTGCGGCGAGAACCTCACGTGCGTTCGCGTCGACGAGTGGTACTCGCAGTGCGTGCCTGGCATTGGTTTCCACTGGAACTAAACCTTTGTAGCGTCTTTGTAACCTAAACACCATGTCTTCTACTGTGTACACAATTGTCCATATCTACGCCAGCCACGGCGAGTTGTCGGCGCCAAACTCGACCCCGAGACCGCGGTTGCCACTCGGAAGGTGCACGCGGCCGACCGCGAAGTGGGGTGCCGGTGCTGTTGGGGACACGAGGGCGTCGGGGCGCACACGCTTGCCAGTGTCAAGCCCAAAACGCGCCAAGTCGACGCGCGACAAGAGGCTTAGTCGCGTGATCTCAATCAGGTGGTTGTCGGCGTCGTAGCCAAAGACGTAGCAGTCGTTGCCATTCTGGCCTACGGTCATCATGCTCCGAAAGCGCGAGTCGATGTTGAAGAGATCGTAGACGCTGCCACCGAGCACGCGTCGGCCTACACCTCGTACGTGACGGCGCATGCGAGTGAGATTCGTACCAGAGTAAATGTGCTGAAGGCGACAGTACCACGCCATGAGGCGATAACGCACATCGCGGGGGCCCCCCACCGGCACCTAACGAGACTCGCAAACGACTGCAAAGCAGCAGGGAAACACCTACTTGGGTGTACTTGACAATAGGATGCATCCACTCTCGGAGCCGGCGAAGTGTGAACCGGGGAATCGCCAGCAAAAAAGGGATCCCACAGAGCGAGATCGAGTACAAGATGGACGCCGGAAGTGCCTGCGTCGTGTAGTACTCGCTGTCGCTCGGTGCCTCGGCCAGAGGCTTGGAGATGTGGGTGTAGAGCAAGAGCGTCGGGAGCCACGCATTTTGCGCATTCGTCGAGAGACCTGCAAAGGTGAACGATGCCATCGCGACGACGGTCGTGCTGCTCGGGCGAAAGAGCGCGGCGCGGCGGCGCCACTTGAGGTACCGGTTCAGCGCCGTCAGCGTCGCGTACGAGAACCAGACCGACCGACTGAGAAACATCGCGCCGAGGCCCGTGTAGTAGAGGGCTTTGGTCTGGGACACGCGTAAAATGGCTTGGGCCACGACTTCTACGCTGCTCCAAAAGTCGACCATAAAGACGGCAATCACGAGCGGGTGACACACCACGAGCGACGTGGGTTCGCCAAACACAATTTCGTATCGCACCGCGTTCGTGGGCGTCGGGTGCAGCGGGTGCGACCGCAGTAATCGGCGCAGCGTCCGCACGTGGCGGTAGTAGAGGCGGTAGGCCTCAACACCGATGAGCAGGCTCAGACCAAAGCGGACGCAAAACTTGGTCGTGAGCCAAAACAGCGAGTAGCGCACAGTTGCGTACATGAAGGTAATCGTCGTCGCCGTGGTTGCACTGGCGCCGGCGCCGGTCACGTCGCCCGGCGACGACCAGAACGCGAAGACGCCCGTGGGCGCGTTCATCATGTAGGCAGTGCCGACCCGAGCGATCGGCGTCGACGACCTGCCGCAGAGAAAGGCCGTGAGTTTCGATGGCAGGTCGAACGGGCAGTAGATGCTGCCGGTGATGCGCGTGAGGACTTGGTCGTTGCAGCCACTGGCGTTGTACGGCACGACGTTGCGCACAATCTCAGCGCTGAGCGACGCGTCATAAGTGTACGGGGACGTGACGTTGACGAAGCGCGCTTGCAGCGTTTTGGCAAAGGCCATCGAGACGGTGTGGTTGACCTCCGGGATCGCGTTGGCCGAGACGAGTGCAAACTGCTTGTCATCAAAGGGAGATGCTTCGCTCATGTACGCCTTCAACGGCATGAGCACAAGGTTGAGGAGGAAGCCGAGGCTCAAGACCACTGAGACGCGGTTGTATCGCACGTTGTCCATGCTCACGCCGACTATTTTTATCGCTTGGGGAAAGGACAGACAAAGGACCTTTCATGGTTTCTGCATTGGGGTCAGTGGGGTCAGCGCGGCAAAGCGCCATTGAACTCAACATCATTGAAGCTCTCGTCTTGACTGGACCCTATATTGATGGACCGCGCCGCTATTGCCTCTTTTCTTGACAGGGCGATTCGTCAAGCCCGACACCTTGGACTGAAAGCAGTATACAATGGCAGCATACAACGTCGTTGGCTCGAATTTGCGTATTAATTTGTGCACTAGGCTCGTTGCTGGTGCTGTACATTTGGGCAGCCCTATCCCTTGCTCCCTCAGAATTGGGCCGAGTAGAGCTACACGTCAGCCTTAAAGTTCACGATCGCTAGCTCATTCGCCGCATCCGTAGCTTGCACTAGTGTCCTTGCGACTGCACGTAAGAAATGAGTGGCTCAGTGTCGGCTGCTTGAGCCACAAAGCTTTGTCGATAGCTCCACCCACAACTCTGTGTTTCGACAGTCGAAGAAAGGAGTCATAGCAATGAGTGAAGGTCCGTGCAGGACCACTGCAGTGGATTGTCGGGCCCTTACAAAGTGCAAGCTCATGACGTGGCCGTTTCTGGGATCAGCACGGATTAGACAGTGATTGAAGTCCCTTGTCTGCCGTCCGACCACGTTGATGACATGGTGTGTTGCTGCGACTCGGCCCTTCTAAAGCTTCGGAGAATTAGCCACGCAGGGTCGCTGCACTTGCCCTGCAGCAGCTGCTCGCGATCCGGCAGCGATCCGGATGACCATCATTCATGCAAGATTTTGCCTGGCTCCTCAAGCCAGCCAGGCGGCGATAGGAAGTGGGCACGACCCGCTCATTCTCCTATTTAGCTCCTCCCACACACGTACATTGGCCATGGTCGCGCCCGGGACTGCCACGTGTCAAGTCTGCTTTGACGAAGCCGACGCCGTCGTCACACAGATCTGCCGCACCGCCTGTCCCGCGGTCCTCTGCACGTCGTGCATCGAAGCCTTCCTCAACGTCCAGGCCGAGTCGGCGCTCTACGGCGTGCTCACCAAGCTCAAGTGCCCGATCTGCATTCGGCCCACCAACATGGTTCGCTGGCGCGAGCGGCTAGGGAAGGCTGCTAACCTCCTTGGACCGTTCGAATCAAAGGTGCTATCGGCGTGCGACGTCAAGTGCCCCAACTGCCACAACAACAACTCGATGCTGCCAGCACGGCGCGACTCGGTCCGGCCGCTCAAACTGCCGACGCACCTCGCACAACAGATTCCGGAGCTCCAGACGCGCTGCGGCCAGTACTGCCGTCACCGCCACTCGGCCGACGCACTTTACAACTACGTCCGCGCAACGTTTCCGGGCCACGACGATGCCATTCTGAACGCAATGTTGCCGCTCATCCACGACGTCGAACGCCGCGCGACGCTCTTCCTTCGCTGGCGCCGCGACGCACCGTTCATTCAGTCGCCGTGCTGCAAAGCCGACTTGTGCTTTGCGTGCAAGGTCGGCGGGCACCACTTGGGGCAGCCGTGCGCGCCGGTCGAGGCCATCGACGACATTGCGCAGTGTCCTGGCTGCAAGCTGCACCTCGTCAAGGGCGACGGCTGCGACTCAATGAACTGCTTTTGCGGCATGTACTTTTCGTGGTCCTCGGAGCGCATGGCTTTTCAGTTCCAGTGCGTGCGGCCCGAAGTCCTCTCCAAGCTGCGGATCCTCGTGCGCCGGCACAAGCCGCGTCTCTGCTGGTCTGTCATCCAGCGGCACCTGCCGGCCAGCGAGGGCTTCTACCGCCTGCACTTGGCCGAACACGAGCGTTATGCCTCGGGCAATACGCTCGCGCCGTGGCTTGGTACCAACGGCATTGAGCTCGGCATGTCGATCGAGTCTCTCGCCGCGCTCAAGCCCGACTTGTGGAGCGCCGACGGGCTCTTTGATGGCGCGCCGGTCGCCCCGGAAGTCACCAACTATAGTTGCCGATACATCTGGATCAACTTTGACAAAGTGGCCGACCTCTTTCCGAGCCTGCCGCCGAAGGCAACGTACGACTGCGGGAGCTACGTATGCTTTATGTTTGACACAACCAACGCCCTCCGCCTCCTCTCGCTGCGCTTCTACCCGCTGTACATGCACCGGTGGAAGAAGCCCGACTACGCCCCGCTCCTTGCGTACTTTTCAACGCTGCTTGGTGGCCCCGGCCGCCAAGAAGACACGCTCGTCGACCATGCGCATACGGTCGTGTCGGTCCAGGACGTGAATGGGACGCCGCACGTCGAGTTTGTGGACGCGCGGGCGCCACCCGAGATCAAAGACCGCTCGTTCACGCCGTACCTCAAGGACCAGCGTCTTCGCGACGTGATTCTGCCAGCGTGCAAGCGGTTGGACGTGCGCCGGGCCATGCGTGCGGTCCAGCGCCATCTTCGGACGGCCGTGTGGAAGCGCAAGTGGGGCTACGTCATGGCCGAGATCGAGGCAGCAGATGTCACAGCGCGCGCCAAGGCGTTCTGGGCCAACTACTGGGCGACGCTGCCCGCCAGCGACAAATATGCACTCGATGACGACATGAACAGTATTTTTGCGATCGGTTTGGACGAATAAACTACTATTTTGTGTGTTTGTTGGACTGTCTATTAAGTGAGATGTGCTTGCGGTCGTGGCCGCTGGAAGCAGTCCCTTCTGTCTTGGGCGTCAAGCGACAGGCTGGTTGTCGGATACAGTTGCAACAGCATCATCTTACCACGGTACGACGACCGCGCCGAGCAGATGCAAGAGGCCGCCCGCATGCCATAGCTCATTGAGGAGCGCAATGGCCTTCGCTGCTTGGCCAGTGCACACAAAGTACACAACGTGAAGCACGACAGTGATCGCGTTGTATTGGACGGCGGTCGATGCCTGGTCCATGTACCACGAGGCAACGTCGACAAAGGTAGTGACGACAGGCGAGCGGACAGGAGGATGCTGCACCGACAGCGCCGCGCCGCCACGGCGTGACGTCTTGCTGATGCAAAGACTTGCAAAGGCGTACGTCATGCGTTGCACCTCTGCGCATGTCGAGCGTGAGCCACGGACACCTTCGGGCATGTCTGATGGACGCACCGTCTTCGTCGGGAGGCGGCTCGGTGGCTCGGTCGGCGCCTCGCTGCGTCGCCATGCGGGATGGCTTGACGCGGGTCCAAGCGAGCACGGCAATGAGGCCAAGGAGAGTCAGCGCCATGAGCTTTGCACCGTGCGGGATGGCCGTCGTGGGGCCGGGTACGTCGGGGTCGGCCATAGCACAAAACCAAATGGACGTTTCGCGATCTTGAAGCACATACAATGAATTTCACTCGATTTTTAATTGCACTAAAACCTGTATTGTATGGACGCACGCTGCATTTTAATTCCAAACGACCTCAGATTGCACCCAAATATTAATATACGTACCGAGCATTGAGTTTCATTTTGCGCGAGTTGAAGTTGAGTTTCCGACGCCATCGCCTTTGGTAGATCAAGGCGTTTTGGCGAGGTAGACCATGATGGATGACTGCACCCGCAGCCTTCAGGCCTCCTTAGTATGCTATATCTTGCTCTCTTGTGTGCACGGGTCGAGGCTGCACCACAGGAAATGATGCTTGTGTGATGATGAAGACTACCCCCAGAGCACTCGCTGTCGTAGTGATGGCTGCTAGTAGCAGAGACTTCAAGGCCTGTGGCAAGACAGTACATGAGAGAGATATTATACTTCAGGTCGTGGTGCTACAGCGATACGAGAGCTCTAGTCGTCGTCGTCGCCGTACCATTCGTCGGCAGCGTCGTATTCGAAGCCTCGAGGCGCGGCGCGACCGCCCGATGACGCCGGAAGCACTTCACCACGCTTACCGAGTTGCATGGGCGACTCGCCATACCGCTCTAGAGGCATGCCCTCGGAGGCCAAGCCTCGCCGGAGATCGCGTCGGTCCCCTTGGGTGTCGGGCATCTCGGGGTTGTGACGAAATTGTCGGACCGCTTGGGCAGCGCGCGCGGCCTTGGCCTCTTCGTGCAGGCGCTGCTTGGCCGCCTCCTCCTTCTCCTTTGCTCGCTCCTCGCGGCGCGTCGTCTTGGGCGGTCCCTTCCGTGGCATCGGGGGTTCTGGGCACTGTGGCACAATCTTGACACTATTTTTGCATCGTCTGAATGAAGGTCTCTCATACTATTCACGTCATGTCGCAATCCAAAATTTCAAATTTCAGCTGTTCCCGCCAAAACGATCGTGATGGTCCTGCAGTGTGCACGTGACGCACAAAGCTAATGCATGAATGGGCGCGGGTATAGCTATAGTACTGGGAGCGTAACCACTGAGCTTGAATCGGCCAAGGACAAATCTTTATTGCAGCACGGCACAAACAATTGTGAATATTTTGAAAATGTCATTTTGAGGTTGCGAGTCGTATCATTTGAATGTCTATCATAAAGCCCAAGACGCGGCCACTCCTTGCTACCACGATAGATCGCTCTGTACAGTGCGCGAAGTTGAGGCCCCATTCTTGGAGCGAGGAGCGTCCGCCACACAGGATGTTCTTTGACAGGCTATACACTATTCGAGTATACTCTTTGAATAGTCTGAAATCCTTGATTTCGCCAGTGACCCTAGCTGGTGCAAAAAATGCCTCGTGAATACAAATCCTATTTTCAAATTGGTATACAAACATGCTGTTTCGGCCTAGAATTAAATGAAACACTTCATTTGTATAAAATAGAACAGGGGACCGGACCTGTTTCGAATTTCTCTTTCTCTAAACCATCGCATCCAAGGACTTTCCTCGCAGTTGATTTGCTACAGCTCATGTAATCAATGTTTTACAAGCTGCTATACATCTCAGAGAGGGAAGTACCCCGACGGGCTAGGACAAGGATCACTGGTGGCAGGCCCCATTTAGGCACTTGCCGATTTCCGGATCAACCAGGACCATGCAGGACGACGCACAGGCCAACAAGGACAAGGACCGCGTCCGCCGCCACCACTGGATCCCCAAGTACGAGGTCGAGTTCGGCCTCCAGATCGTCGAGCGCCATCCGCACACGGGCGAGGTCATTTTGGCCGTCTGCGGCCTCTGCAAGGCCTTTGGCCGCGAGGTGCGCGAGAAGGACGAAGAGCCTCTGTCGCCGACGAGCAGCAACCAGCGCAAGCGCCGCCGTGGCCTCACGACGACCAAGTACTTTCGCTCGTTCCGCGTCGACAACATTCGCAGCCACCTCAGCGGCGCGCATCCCGTGCGCTGGCATGAGTACCAAGTGCTCGCGAAGAACGAAGAGCTGCGCCGTAGCTTCCTCGCCCAGACGCCGAGCATGGGCTCGCTGAACCTCATGTCGTCGCTGCCCATGACGATGATGGGCATGGCCACGGGCATGGACGAAACGAGTGACTTGGATGGCACCGACCCGTCCGTGCTCTCAATGGGCGCCGTGACGCCGTCGGCGCGCACGCCGCCGCCCAGCATCAAGCGTCAGAGCCCCGCGCCGGTGAACGTGGCCAACATCATGCTCAACAACCCGCACGGAAAGCGCCCGCCGCCGCTCGACCCCAAGACGATCGAGCTCCAAAAGTACCAGCTCGACTGGGAGCGCCTCGAGTTTGAGCGCATGCGCTTCCAGAAGGAGCTGCAGATGAAGGACCTCGAAGAGAAGCAGCTCGAACGCAGGCTGCGCCACGAAAAGGAAATGCGCGAGAAGGACCGCGAGCTCGAGCTCGAGAAGGCCAAGATCGAGCAAGACAAGTTCAACAAACTCGTCGACATCCTGCGCGCGACGCTCGGCAACGCTGCGGCCACCGCGGCCGCGACCGCGATTGTATGAACCGAGGACCCGTCCCCTTTTTTAATGTAGTAAGCGCTCCTGCTCGTTTGGTTGACGCCGTTGCACCTGCCATAGCAGCGATAGAGACTGCGCTGTCCACCGCTCAGCGATAGAGACTGCCCCGTCCACCGCCTGTCTCGCTCCCAGCAACAGGGCTCCGCTGCTAGTAGAGAGAAGAGGTCTCGACGCTCCATCTATTGAGTGCGCCGAGCAGGACCAAAGCAGGGTCGAGCACCGTGGAAGGGAAGAAGGACGCTTGAGGTTTACTCTCGGAACGAAAAGTCCGAGTCGGCGGCGAGGCTCTGGGCGCGGGCGAGGACGGCCATGTGCTGGCTGCCGCACGCACCCGTCATGACAAAGGCCTGCGAGAGCGCGTCGAGCTGCTTGGGCTGCGCCTGGGGCTGCGTGTCGTAGTGGCCGAGGTAGTTGGAGCTGCCCATGCCGCGCTTCCCAAACGTGAACGCCGTGCCGTCATCTACACATCCCGAGTGTCTACCGTAGCCAAGACAATGTTGGCGTCGTACCGGCAACGACCAGCGTCGCGCGGTCGCCACAGGCCACGTCGACGATCTTCTTGTGCTTGAGCGCCGTGATCTCACGCGGCTGCACCCAGAGGTTGGAGCCCCAGATGAAGAGGCGACCGGCGGCCGAAATGGCCGCGCCGTGCTCCTTGCCCGCGGCAATCTTGACAATGCGCTCGTCTGCGTTATCGCGTCAGTACCCGCTTCAAGCGACGGGCGATTGACGTACCGTAGAAGCCCGTGATCTCGACAGGAAAGCTCTCCATCGTGTTCATGTCGACCACCATCCCGCCGCCTTCCGAGCCGAGCTGGAAGTCTACAGAGGACCGATATGTATGCTACAACGAGAGCTCGGACGTACGGTTGTTCTTGCCCCAGCCAAAGACGCGGCCGTCGTCACGCAGGGCGAGCGTGAACGACCGGCCGGCCGCGATCTGCACAATGTTGACCTTGTCGAAAAACTCCATCGGCTCAGGGTACTCGAGGCTAATGAGCTCGCCGTTGCCGAGCCGGCCGTTGTCGCCGCGGCCCCACGACCACACTTCGCCGTCCACCGAGAGCGCGACCGTGTGCGCGTCGCCGCAATCGATCGACGCGATCGGACAGCCCTAGACGCCAATAGGACGCATCGCACAAGGGTATGTAGCGTACGTCTTCGATAAAGGTCTCGACGAGCGCGGGCACCATCTGGTTCTTGCCCGAAGACGGGCCGAGGCCGAGCGCATTGTCCGACATGGCCGAGCCGCCAAAGCCCCACGTGAAGACGCGGCCCTCGGCGTCAACGGCCGCAGTGTGCGTGACGCCGCACGAGATGTCGACAATCTTGACGTCTTCCAGCGTCTCGAGGAGCGTCGGCGCATCCGCTTGGAGCTTGCTTTCGCCGAGGCCCAATTGGCCCTTCTCGCCACGGCCCCACATGTACACGCGGCCGTTGTCGTCAACTAGCGCGATGGCGTGAGCACCATCGGGTCATCATATGGACGCTGTACCGGCGGCGCTGTGGTCCTGGCCCAAGGCGAGCTTGGTCACGTTGATGTTTTGCTCGAGGAAGCTGTCGAGCACCTTGGGCCCAAGCTCTTCGTACTTGCGCGTGATGCCCGACACTTCAAAGGGCCCGACGCCGAGCTGGCCCACCGAGCCGTTGCCCCAGACGATGACTAGACGCATACGCATTGAGATCACGCAGAAGCGGCGGCCATGTACCGTTGGCGCGGGCCTTGGCGGCCGTGCTAAAGGCGCGCGGCAGAAGGACGCGCAGGACACGGCGACTGGTCAACATGACTGGAAGCTGCGATTGTTTCTGCGGCGCTGCCCGCGGTCATCCGGATACGTTATGCGGATGACCGTGGATTGGTCGATGCGAAATTCGAAGCGCGCCGATCTTTGGTGCCATCATCGCCCCGCCGCCAGCTCCCGCCGACGTGCGCCTGTGCATCTCTGTTGCAGGCGCCTACGACGATATTCTCCAATGATGACGCATCGAGCAGCTACAGCGGAGCAGACAATCTGTCTGCACGATGGCAGACAGTCCAACGCAGCAGCGTCGACATCGCGGTAGTAGCAGCCCGAAGACCGAAAGGGTCACCACGATTTCAGTACACTCAAGACGTCGGTGGTGGATGGTGACAGCAGTAGCCGGTAGACGCACAGTACTGCGGTCTTGGGGCACACTGCCGACGCCGGAAGCGTCCTTGACCAGGGCTATGATCCGTCGAAGTCGACCTGGCTTCGCGAAGCGCCCCGAGTTCGAAGTTCGAAGCAGGTTGTGGACAGGCGGTGCAGTTTTCAAGATGCAGGTCCTTGACTTTGAGCCGACGACGGTCACGCTCTTCTGGGCCGACGCCCACGCCTCGGCGTACGAGGTCGAGTGGAAGCACGCGGACGCTGCGGTGTACAACCCGCTGACCTTGAAGAGCACGGTCATGAAGAAGAAGAACATGGAGGGCGGTCAGAGCTATCACTTCCGCGTCAAGGCCGTTGGCGACGGCGCCTTCTCCGAGCCATTGGTATGGGCGCACCCGGCCATTGACGGCGCCCAGCCGCCCGCACCCACGGTCGCCCTCGAGATCATGCCCACGGACGTTCAACTCGCGAGCGCCACGATCCAATGGCCTGCCATCGCCGCTAGCCCCAAGTACGAGGTGCAGTACGTCCTCATGGACGGCGCGTCCGAGTGGACGACGGCGACGAGCACGGTCGCGTCGACGGCGATCAAGAAGAAGAACCTCGCTAACCCGGGCCGCCCGTATGCGTTCCGATACCGCGCCTACGGTCTCGACAGCTGGGGCGTTTGGAGCCGAGCGGCTGGGCCCATCATGCCGCCGACGCCGGCGCTGGCGCTCGCCAAGGCGCTTGCACCGTCGCTCCTCTCGACGACCGGTGATCGTGTGCCGTCCGCGACCTTGGGCGGCAAGGTCATCGGTCTCTACTTTAGCGCGCATTGGTGCGGCCCGTGCCGGCAGTTCACCCCGATGCTCGCGCAGTTTTACCAGTCGATGAAGCGCCTCGGGCGGCCGTTCGAAGTCGTGTTCGTCTCGGCCGACCACGACGCCAAGCAGTTCACGAGCTACTTCCGCGACATGCCGTGGCTTGCGGTGCCATACGAGAGTGCGGAGCGCGAAGAGCTGCAAGAGACGCACCAGATTCAGGGCATCCCGACCTTCAAGATCCTCAACAGCGCCGGCCAAGTCGTCGACAACGACGCCCGACAGCGCCCAATGAACGAGCAAACGTTTGATGCGTGGTATGCCCAGTGCTACCGCCACTAAGCTTGGAATCGGACATGTCCTCGTTCCGTACCCTAAATCGGTTTCATCTTCCAGCTTCAAGTCTAGGAAAATGCAAGTTTGGGAAAAGGCAGCTCCAAAGCGACAGGGCAACGCGTAAAAACGAGGTTGGTAGCGCGGGATCCGCTGTTGGATAGCTCATTCTTGCATTTGCCGCCATGAAGCCCCACTGCTCCGCCCTCCTCTTCCTCGCGACTGCCATTGTTGCCGCCGGCCCCTTGGCACCGTGCGACCAAGCGCAGCTCATTGCAGCGACAACACCCGTCAACTCGGGACCGGCCGCCAAGGCATGCTTGACCAGCGCCTCGATCAAGGACATGCAAGCTCTCTTCAACGCGCCGCTGACGCCCACGCAGGCCTCCCTCTTCACAAAGAGCCCCAAGTGCCAGACATGGTACTCGGCGTACACAGGTGTCCTCGCGAATGTCACGCCCTGTGCGATGCCCAACGGCCTCGACGTTCGAGCGATGGCGACCGTACCATTCGCTAGCTTCTTGCCCGAAATGCAAAAAGCGGCTAATGCGACCAAGGCATCAAATGCAACAACAGCGCCGCCGTCAAACAGTGCCGTCATCGCTCCTGCTGGCAGTTCTGCCTCTGATAATGCACCGTCGCCGACCAAGACGACGACTACAGGGCCTCGAGCGGTTGTCAACACGACGTCGACGGCAGCCTCTTGGACCATCTCGGTGGCAACGGTGACAGCAGCCGCTGTACTCTACTGGTAACTTGGTGCATGAAGACAGCACGCAATGACATTGTCCTTTTCTTGCTTCTTTCAGTTGGACTCGTGGGTCGCCTAAGAAGCACTAGTACACAGATAGGGTCTGGAGAGTTTATGCATACAGGCCAACAACGGCCATGGCAGCCGACCCGAGGTATAGCGCCGTGTAGTTGAAGGACCGGCCCCACGTCGGTCGCGCATGGAACTCGGGGCTGATCGTATACTGGTACGTAAGAAGCTCGACGAGACCCGTGTAGACGAGGATGCCACCAGCCACCGCGTCCAGAACGCCGCGGACCCAGAGCGACACCATCGACGTCTCGCTGTACGAGCCCGAGACGAGGATGCCGACAAGAATCCCGAGCGGCGTCGTGATCGAGTACCCCATGGCCGTAAAGAGCGACGCGCGCAGACTCGTAAAGGCCGAGACCGCCGACGTGCCGACAGCGATGCCTTCAAAGAACTGGTGGAAGCAAAGCGCAATGAGCAGCGTCGTGAACGTTGCACCGGACGTCACGCCGAGTTCAAAGCCGATGATGACCGAATGAATCGCCACACCCACCTCGAAGATGGCGACAGTAATCTTCTGCCGCAGCGCCGAGTTGCCTGCGACAAGGCGCCCGTGGCCGTGCGCGAGGTGGCCATGCCCCGAGAGCTCGGACGATGTATGGTCGGCGTAGCCAAAGCTGTGCTTCCCCGACTGCAAGATGACGGCGTCTTCGTCGACAACGTGGCCGCGGGACATGAGGATCACAAGCTCCGTCTCAAGGAGCTGCATGACGTAGATGGTCGCGAGCACGACGACCATCGCGAGCCCGCTGTACTCGACGCCGAGGCATGGATCGCTGAGGGTGGCCATGGCGGGCGGGATCATGTGGATAAAGGCGGTGGCAATGACGACGCCAAAGCCGAACGAGTTGAGGACCTCGATCGCGCGCCGGCTATTGCGGAGGCACGCGACGAACGAGCTCACGACCGGGAGCATACTGCCGAGCAGCGAGGCCGCAAAGATGATGCCGACAGCGGCATAGTGCATCGGGTGGTCGTACTCGCCGTCCATCTCGATCGGGGCTCCGCACGCAGCGTCGTCCGTAAGGAGGCGCATCTTGTTGTTGCTGCGGATTGGTTTGTTGAAAAGTGACGAGAGTGCGGCGACGGCCCAGACAGGCGCGTGACAACCATGTGGCAAAAATACAGTATTCAACACTTTTGTATTAAACACTTGGGCACGACCAACGAACGCGACGATACGGGCGACTGAACTGGTCAAAACGAGAGCCCACACCCCGCACGTATGGTCATGCACCGGTGTACACTTGCTCGAGCTAGCAGACGCCTTGAGCATTATCATGACGTTCATATTTCAAGCACATACGAGGTTGTAGCGATGCCAAGACCGAATGCCTTACATCCTGCGTGCAAGCGCACAGAGCTCTGCCCTTGGAGGCAGTTGAAAAGGAGAGAAAACTCATGTGTTGGTTGCCAGTCATATCCCAGAAGACAGACACTGCCACGACACTTGAACGACCCAGCCTTCTCCGACGAGCGCGGGTCTGCTGCCGCGCAGATTCTACTAGCTCGATGTCTGACAGGTGTTGTGGATGGAGCCATCGCCTTTCCAATCGTCTTGCTGCTAGAGCTGCAAAGCAAGGTGGGCACCACCGGAAAAGAAGGCGTTCCTTGTCCGGCGGCGCCATGCGACGGCTAGTGTTTAAAACATCGTTTGAGCGGAAAAATACACATCCTGGCTCTGTCGCGGCATAGACACTGATGCGGGAAGACCGCCGCACGAGACGACGACGATGTTTCGGGCTCAGACATAAATGCAAACGTCTGGATGCGGTCTTTGCGCCAGATTCTAAAGGTCTTGTCGTGCACCACGGTCGCAGTGTTGCGATCAGATATGCTCCACGCCTCGCATCCAGGCCATCAGCACTCGCTTGGTTTTTGGCCACTGCACTCGGTCCCACGCATCCTGTCCTCTGACGCAAATGCAAAGTGAGCAGCGGTCGGTGGCCCGGCTAGACGATCTGGGTAGCACACGGTTTGCCGTTTCGCAAAAATTGCGATCTTTTGGCGGCGTTTGATTGGCTGCGGGTATCCGGATACGAGACCTGGCTGCGATGGAGGAGCGCGGACAGCTCCTGCCAGCGCACCGACCGACGTCAGCCATGTGGAGCGTCGGCGCCTATGTGCTCCTGCTCGAGCTCGTCGACGCGCTCACATACTATGGCATTAGCCAAGGCTTTAAAAACTTTATGCAGGCCAAGCTCGGTTATTCGCAGGTCGGTGCGAGCTCGCTTCGTAGCACATGGACGAGCTTTTGCGACATTGTGCCGCTCGCGTCAGCGTACGTTGCCGACGAGCATCTTGGGCGCTTCCGCGCCATCCTCTTGGCCGGCGCCTGGTACGTCGGCGGCGTCTGCCTCTTGGTCATCGCGTCACACCCCGTGATGCTCGCCGAGTACAATGGCGTGGCCAACGTGTGTTTTCTGATGGCGATCTTTCTTGGCATCGGTCTTGGCAACGGCGGCTTTGACTCGAACGTGGTCGCTCTGGGTGCCGACCAATTCACTGGCGACGAGGACGCGCAGCAGCGCTTCTTCAGCTACTTTTACCTGAGCATGAACATCGGGTCAACCGTCTCGTACGGGTACCTCGCCTACCTCTGCGTGCACGGCCTGGCTCCGATCGTACCGCCCGAGGCTGGGTATTTTGCCACCTTTGCCTTCTGCGGCGTTGCGCTTGTCCTCGCGCTCGGCGCGTTTCTGAAACAGTCGCACCGGTAGTGCGACTCGGACTCCTTTGACGACGCTACACGAGTTGTGTAGGTTGATCCACACGCCGCCGACGCCCGGAGCATTGACGCGCACCGCCGCGCTCTTTGCAGCGCCGGCGCTTGCACCCATTGTGTGGGGACTGGGCTGCTTTTGGCTTTCATTTGTGCTCAACTTTGCAGCCGTCTTTGTCGACAACGCGGCGATGGCGTCGACGCTCACGTGCGCGGCCGCGGGATGCATTGTCATGGGCATGAGTCTCTGGCTCAGAAACGCCACCGACAAGAAGGTCCTTGCGTCGGCGTGTCTCCAACTGGACCCAGCATTGGCCATGGACCTCAACCAAGTGCTAACGATCTTGCCCTTTGGCGTCTTTCAGATCGTCTGGAATGCAGTCTATGACCAGCTCGATGCGAATTTCCAGTCGGTCACGCAACAGTGCGACTTGCGCTGGGACCCGAACTCCGGTCGGCACGGCGCCCAAGTCCCCGGTGCCATGCTCGGAGTCTTTGACACGCTCGGCGTCGCACTCTGGATCCCGCTTCTCGACCACATTGTACACATGACTCCATACCAAAATGGACTAGGACACCCTTGAAATAGGTGTTGCCACGACTGCAAACAAGATATGGTTTTTGCGCCGTGGACAAGGTCGCAATAGGTCTCGTCCTCTCGAGTGCGACCATGGTCTGGGTCGGCCTCGTTGAGAGCTGGCGACGCTCGTCCTCCCCGATTGTCCTCGGCGACGGTCTCGGGCCGCTTCTGGACGATGGCACGCAGCAGCCAATGAACCATCTTTCGTGGCGCATGGCGGTCCCGGGGTATCTCCTCGTCGCGCTCTGCGAGTG